TTTCCTATTGTTTACTATTTTATCTATCATGATAATGGATAACAAACTAACAAATATTGTTATAGTTATCAAACTCTAATTGTTGATCTTTGATAATTTTTTTAATATTTTTCAATCAATGTTCACTACAACAGTCAGATCAATTGTAACGTAAAAAAGTCATTGATAACCATAATTTATATGATGTACCGTTAGAAATAGACTAGTTTTATTTATTTTCCGTCTTTCTTTTTTCTTTATGTAACGAAACTTTTTTTGGAATTAGTTTGACAAAGAAAAGATATAGATGTGGGTCAGAATGTGAAGTATGGGTGTCATTCATGAGAAGAAGTAAATCCTGATCCACATCCACATTCAAAGTTTTCAATAAAAGTTTTTCAACTGAATGAATATTGATATTTTCAAGTAACTTATTCAAACGAGAAAAATTTGATTAGTGTTAGATGAATAATTCTTAAAATAGTTCGACAATATAATTAAATCAAGTTGTTTTTCTTTTTATAGATTTTTTGATCTATTATAATTGATGATTACAACTTCATACATCTGTTATGTTTTGTCTAAATAATTTGAAATTTTTGAAACTGATTAAATGTCAAAATAATTTCTATGTGTGAAATTGAACTGCAATTTTCAAATAGATTGAAATATTTATATACAATCAATTATTAATAAAATGTACCTATTTCAAATCAGTTTTTCAGGCATAAATCATTTAAGAAAATTTTTGTTTTGTAAATGATTAAGAGAGAATAATTCTTAGACCATGTAAAGTTTTTTCTATCATATTATGAACACTTCAGTGAAATACAAAACTTCGAACAATTGGTTTTTGATTGCTACATAGACAAAAAAGATTAATTGTTTAATTCTTACACTACTTCGTATTAACGACTGCAATGCAATGGAGCATAGTTAAAGTTGAAGATGGAAAACGAACTTTTATATTAATATAGAACAAAAAAAGGATAAAATGCAGTTTTTTATGTATTTTATTTATTCGTTTCATTCTATGTGAAAACAAGAATTTCAGATCTTTTGTCCTACCATGGTCAATCGCATTATTTTCATAGATATACACATAATAATAGTAGTATCATCACGAAATCATATGATCATAAAGAAAATAATAACATCATATCTGATTATATTATTAAAATGTCATTATCATATAATCCGCTTTATGATTTCTTCGGAAAACATTAACAAAAAAAAAACATCTCCAAGAGAAATCCAACATACGGCTAAATTCCAAATAAAATCATACATTATCTACGGCGGCTTCTTTTCTGTATATTTAAATCTATATATCAACTCTGTAAGTCGTGTTCCCAACGTACAAACAGAAGTATAGAGAAGGATATATGAAAAACGACGTACATATTCAGATATAAAGATCCGAATATACATGTAAAAATATGAATAAGAACATAAAAAGAGGGCATACATCTAAGTGGATTACTAGAGTTAGAACATTTTTTTTTTATTGTTTCCGACTGAAACGATAAACCGGATCATATTGGTATTATGAGTTTTTGGTGAAGTGTGAGTAATTCAATAACTGAGTAAAATGTTTTTGAAAATTTCATCCCAAAAAAGGATAAAAAAAATTCTAATTTAGACAGCTTTGTAGAGCTCTATGTGCTCTATCGAGCCATAATGAAAACATCCAAAAACATTATTCACTATTTAAATTACTCGTACCCTAGAAAAACCTCATAATAACGATATCACGTTGTATTTTTTCATGCCATTTTTTTCTTAGCATGGAAGTTTGTTTGTTTTGAGTGTACTTTATACTCAAAAGTTTTTCGTATTAAACAGACATAGATAGCAGTCGACCTCTACCAGTCTTCGTAGCGATTTGCCTCAAATATAAAGAAAAATATACAATTTTATAAATAGTATTTATATAGGATTTTGATGAAACTATGAGACGATTACACAGCCTGTACATAACCAAAAAAATTCATAATGCTTGATTAATACTGGACGGTATTCAATATAGCTGACTCAGTATTTTTATTCATATGACTATCTTGTAACACCATTATATGATTAAAAAATAGTAGATTCTAGGAAAGATAGTTGTTTCCATTATAAATGAGACGATACATAAAGAATGAGCAGCTACGATGAAATACAATTCCCTTATACTTTACCTTTTGTATATATTCAAAGTTTCTAAGAAGATTTACCTAGTAATAGTTGATCAACAACTAACGTTTTTGTATATATATATCTTGCTCATTCTCCTATTCACGTCATATTATGGTTTTTGTTCTGTTATTACTTCCTTACTAATTACTTTTATGATTTTGATGAGTGTCATAACTTAATAAAGTAGTCAAGTTACAAAAGCACACTCCATATATCGCTGATATGAAGCAGAAACAACTCCAGTACCATTAAAGTAACAATAATAACAAAGTAGTTTCTAATCAAATGCAATAAGTAATAATAATAGTAATAGCATTACTATCAGTTATCGAGTAAAAGTAATAAAAAATAATAGTAATGTGACATTCCTAAGAAAAGCTAGATCGAATTACGTGTGCAAAAAATTTGCGCCTAAATTTCAAGTTCATAAACGTTCAAAAATTAGTATCTTTTTAGTACCGAGAACGATATTGAATTTTTTTATTTTCTTCGCGCATTCGAACCATCCATGTTGAAATCACTAATCCAAAAATTTCAGCTTTCAATAACTTCCCTTCCCATAGTTAGTCAATACCGACGTTTAGCACCATTATACCTGAATGAGAAAAAAAACCAGCAAAAAGATACCATGTAAAGTTAGGCTTCTTAGCGTTTCACACATAATTCAAATCGTTTATGAATTATGCTAAAAGAAAGAGTTTTAAAAAAACATAAGGTATTTAAAGTATTCCATATCAACTACCTATTGAGATTAAATTAACCAAAAAGAGTGAACACTGTCACAATTCATCAGTTTATCACTGTTGATCTTTTGCAGTGTACAGTGTATCAACTGACATTTTTTCAAGCTCAGAGATCCTAAAATCAAGTTTTGATATTTCATGCAACTTTTGATTCTGTACAATTTGAGCAAAAATTTTTTTAGAATGATATTAATGTTAATAACATTGTTCTTGATGATGTTATATTGAACGATTTTCTTCAGAATGTTATTGACGACACTGTTCTTGATCATATTAATTGAAATGACTTTCTCTACAATGATATTCATGCTAATGATATTGTTAATGATACTCATAGTAATGATCTTTTGATTAACCAAGTTCATCCTGATGATGTTATTAATAGTGATCATAGCAATAATTTCATGATTAATCAAGCAAAATGAATACCGATAAAATACTACTATATCAACTAGATATCAGTAGCTACTAAGTAATGAAACAGTACACGTAACAATGCCCTACAGTTTATATTTATTAAAGAAATATTTCATTTGTGAATATTTTCAAAGAAAATCATTTTTTAGAGATGTTCAATTTAAAAATTACATGCAAAAAGAAATAAAATTTTCTATGGTTCAAAAAGCTTGTTAGCAGAGCCTCTTTGGAGCTGATATGTGGAACTCACATATTTGAGTGTGGGTCTAGGTGTGGTGTGGGTATGTTGAAGAGAATACTCACATCCATCCTCACACACACTCACACCCACATCGAATACCCAAACCGTATATTTACAGACACATAGGCTATAATTGTGTGTGGCATTTAAAGATTCATTGGCCAATCTGTTTTGGTAGCAAAAAAATTTTACTCTTATCGGAGTTTTCAGGCTCGATACGACCCTGTGAACAGACTTTCCAAAACACTGGAGGCTGAGCCTCCGCCACCCGGTCTTTTTCCGGTCACGTGCTATGCTCTGTGATGTCATTCACTCAAGAGGGAAAAAGCGAAAATGCTGTACTTCAACGTACTTCCGGACTACGCCATAACTGTGCATCAAATCTGTTTAGCTATTTCAAGTCTCTTATCGACCTGTGTTACGGTATATTAGCCGGAGTTCAGCTTATGTAAGTCATCCTCACCCTAAGGCCCAAATACTTCATTGTACTTCCAAAGTGGGAGTACGGTGAAATATTTGGACTTTATCGTCAGACAGACTTATGCAAGCTGAACTCCGGCTAATATACTGTAACACAGGTCTATAGGAGGCTTAAAATAGCTAAACAGATCTGATGCACAATTGTGACATAGTCTGGAAGTACAGGGAGTACGCTGAAGTACGGCATTTTTGCTTTTTTCTCCTTGCATTCACTGCATGTTTTTCTCTTATGAGATTAATTTGATGAGTAATTATTTATGGAATCCATTGGAATAAAAAACATTGTGAATATAACCCATTACTGAGTGAAAAAGCTAGACATGACTTTGCGGCACGCACATTTTTCTGCTTACCTGTATAAATTAATTCTCTTGCTCTTTCTCTCCGATGGTAGCTGAGGATCAGATTATAAGTCTCAAAATATTTGTTCTTTTTTTTTAATAATGGGAGCAAAGGACACACGATCATTTTGATATAAATTTAATAGAATCAGAACCATATTTACGATAAACAAAAGAAGGTGCACAAAATATTCTATTTCCTCAAATATACTCAAGATTATTACGCTCGCCATACTGTGTTATATAAAGTATCGTATGTCATCGTATACGAGTGTGACTGTTTTACCTGGGATGTCTTTGTAATATTAGCAATTTGTCGTTACAATATTATTGCGAAATGAATTCCTGAGATTCTTGTATTTTCTTGGAATGCCGTTGTTATACTATTTTTGATTACATTAGAGTAAGGGTGATATTCCAGAACGAGCAATCCAACGAAATTTCTTGGAAGTTGTGAAAAAAACATAAAATATCAAGAGATTCTAACAATTAGATTCAATACACTTTTTTACGCGATACCTAATCATCGTGTAATATACGATCGTCAACCCAGACACATGCATTCAGAATAAGCATAGAATTATGCTTCTATTTCTTTTTTCTAGATAGAAGGATCAAATGTTGGCAATTGGCATTGCTATCTTAATATTAAACTTGACCGTTACCTATAGTCGAATTCTACTTTATAATACCGAGAATCGTCAAGATGTTGAAAAATTCGATTGTGTTTATCATGTGTACGACGATGGAGAAGATATTTCATACTGTCGACGTCCAGGTGGACGTCAATCACTCAATCGAAATAGAATTGAATGTGACAATGAAGGAGACAAAAACCTATTCCGTGATCTACTCAAACAAGAAATACATCCAAGCATTATTCTCAATTGGAGTTCAAGTGTCGAAATGGCCGATTTGTATGCCAATGTCTACTACAATCGGTCATTGATTGATGATAACGACGATCAATTTATATGCGACTGCACGAAACGGGGAACATTTGGCAAATATTGTGAATATCAGTTGACACATGACGCAGAATCATTCAGTCAAGCTATCAATGCTCAATTTGAAACAAAGCGAAATGGTGACTCATGGAATACACAACGATATGGAAAGATTCTCTGTTATGAGACATTACCTTGTCACTCAAGTCCACTCTGTCTCGATTGGCGAGAAATTTCTGATGGTGTGCAGCGATGTTCTCATGGTATTGATGAAGAAAATTGGGATAAGTTGGAATTCAACGAGTGCGAGGATGATGAATTCCGATGTACAAATGGCATGTGTATTCCAGCAGAATTCTGGCTGGATGGTAAGTACTGTCAATTCTACCAAAAAATTCTTATTGCATTGATCGTTTTCACAGGTGATTATGATTGTATGGATTGGAGCGACGAATATCGTCGTGATGATGAAAGATCATGTCCGTTTGAGGCGAACGCAATGGAATGCGATGAACATGTATGTTCCAGCGGAACATATTCATGCGGTGATGGACAATGTGTTGAATGGAAGATTCGAATGGCATTTCAACGATTCGCAGAACCAGAGAATGACTGTTTCAACAAGCGCAATCTTAACTACATGTGTGAAATAAGTCCACATCGACCTGCTTGGACGCTCGAAAGTGGACTATGTTGGCCAGACAATGGCTATGATGATGCTCGTTTTCCCCCACGGCATATGATGAATTCGTCAAAACTAACAAACCACGAAAAATGTCAATATCTATTTCGATGTGTTTTGTCGAAAGGTTTCGAGCATGATTGTCCATGTAATCATCGAAATTGTACACAAATGATGATGAATGTGTGTTCAAGTCTCAATCACCTCATTCTCTATCCACCAGAAGGATTAATCAATCCAAATGTTATAATCATGTACAACTACAGTTACTCTATGGAAAACCCAACTTTTCAGATTTTTGCACTTTCCGGAGGCATACGATGTCGAGGGTACTTTTTTCAGGCGAAACTCATTACACAATTGCCGATCAGTTTGACGCTGATCTCTAGTCCTCTTATCCATCATATCCTTTGTACAATCGATAATCCTCAGGTTGGATATCGAGATTTTTTGTCATCTTATCAAAATGACAAGTTCTGTTGGAATGATTCACTAACATTCAATGGTCGTCCATATGCTGTTAATCCTGCCATATGTACTACTACAGGAGAATGCATATCACAATATCGAATTCGTGACGGATTTAGGGACTGCTTCGATCAACAAGATGAAGAAATGGTCCTTGACAAGAATTATTGCACTGGAAATGTAGGACGACATCGTTTTCAATGTTTTAATGATCAACGAAAATGTCTCCAACTGATTAGGTTGGGTACAGGGAATGCTGATTGTTCGAACAGCTATGATGAAAGCTGGTATGGTATTGGTACTGATCTTCGACTTCAGCTTCCATGTTTTAAAGAAGTTACTAATAATTGTCGCCTTGTAAAAACATACATTCAACAGTCATCCATTTGGAATTCAAACAACAACAGTTCGTTCGTTAATCTTCAACAACAAGAGTCATCGAGCCGTATGTCTTTTCGACGTTATTGTGATAGTTTCTGGAATTTGGACAACCATGTTGATGAAATGCCTTCTTCATGTCAATATTGGATATGCCAAAATGATCAATATCAATGTCGCACAGGACAGTGTATTGCACTCGATTGGGTTTGTGACGGCGAATGGGATTGCTCAGACGCATCTGATGAAGAAGCTATTTTGCTAACTGAAAACCTTTCATACCATAATGCTCGTTTGCCAAATTTACCTTCACAAATTAAAAAATGTCGAGAACGATATTCTAAATCACCATTTTCGAAAATTTGTAATACATCATTTGAATTTGGTTGTTATCTATCTCGAGTATCAAATCCATTGGATATTCAATTGAATCGTCCATGTATTAATCTTACTCAGATTGGTGATGGTTTAGAAGATTGCTACAATGCCTATGATGAAAAAAATACATTGGTATCGAATTCGTACATCGGAGGCATGTGGGGTTTTCATTTTCGTTGCGGGAATCATCATATAAGCTACCCAAATGCTTGCGACCGACGCAGTAATTGCACCCAGATTCTTTGCACACACTATCGAGATAAAAATGAATCATGCTCCGATATTAATGATTTCATTTGTCTTGGGGACGATCATTGCAAGAAAAATGCACGGTGCAATGGAAAAGTCGATTGTTTCCATGGAGAAGATGAATATTGGTGTCCGTCTGGTACTCTCAATAATCACATAAGATATCGCAACGACAAGTGGTACATTTCACTACAACGCCCTGAATCTCTTCCTCAAATATCCTACCCACCTGCAAATATGCTGAAGGCTAATCCACAACAGTTATCAAAGTCAACCATCAATCTTCGAAATGATCAGTTTTTCAAAGTACATTCATATCAATGTAATCGAGGTATTGCTGTTATTGAAATGAATGAAACTCGATGTCTATGTCCACCCGCTTATTATGGTAATTGGTGTCAATTCTTCAGTGATCGAATCAGTATTATTGCACATGTCAATCAAAAAATAGAACTAAAGACAATATCGAATAGTACGCTCAAAATCAAAGCTAATTTTCTTTTCAATAATAGAATCATTGATCATCATGAATTTCATGTTGTTCCGATATTGGAAAGAAACAGGATCATTAAACATAAATTTTATCTTCTCTATTCACGTTCTATAGAAATGCTTACACATAAGCAATGGCGTTATTTCAATCGAAGTGATGTTATCAGTAATCATCCATATTCAGTTCACTTTGACGTTTTCTCTCTTGAACAGAATAACAATGTGAAAGAAGTCGGCTCTTGGCGTTATCCAATCTATTTTGACTATCTGCCAGCATATCGCTTGGCTGTTGTATTAAAATTCCCGCCTTGGTTTTTAAATAATACAGCTCATCCTTGTTCACAAAATTCTTGCAATACAAATTCTATATGCATGCCGATTTTTAACCAAAACAATTCCTATTATTGCTCATGTAAAAGTGGTTATTTTGGAGAAGACTGCAGCATGTATGAAGGTCGTTGTGAGACATATTGCTCAGCCAACGCTCTTTGTCGAACCAATGCTGATGAGATGAAGGCTAACATAACCGAACCTTATTGCATCTGTCCACTTAATCATGTCGGCCCACATTGCAACTTAAAACACAATGACTGTTATTCAAATCCATGTTTAAATAAGGGAACTTGCTTTCCTACTGACGACTGGAGTGGAGAAAAAGCTTTCATGTGTGTTTGTTCAAAGCGATTCTATGGAAATCGATGTCAGTATGTGATGGGATCAGTTCATGTTAATTTGAACATGACAAGAACATTGTCTGTTCATGCAACTGTTGTTCAATTATATGACTTGGAGATACCTTCCTTTCAACTTTTCATTCGACATCAGCAAGTCTATAGTGGCATGCCATCAGATATTACTCATTATCATTCTGGTGTTTATGCACCTCTACTTGGTCTTTTAAAAATTTATGAAAATTCAACATCCCCAAAATATTTCCTTGTGTATATTTTGGCACAAGCATCAATAATTAATATTACGTCTTTTCCACAATACTGTCCGCATGCATCATTGCTGTTATCCAAGAGTAAGTTTTAGTTGCATATTAGTGCTCAATTGATATATTGCTTTATACTTTGAGATGTCAATGAATCCTCTTCATCTGTATTTCTATATCATCACATCTGTCGCAATGATTCTCAACTCTTGTGTTTTTATGATGAAACCTATCTCTGTATATGTCAAGCGGATCATTATCGTGTGGAATGTTTCATTCACAATACCCAACTTGATCATTGCAACAAGTGTTTATCTGGTGGAAAATGTCTGCAAGGTGATCTAAATGATCCCAATGATTTCGTCTGTGTTTGTCCTCCTTCTTATTATGGACGTCTTTGCGAATTCAACTCGCAATTATTTAACACCACTACCAATCCAAACCCGGTCACTACTTCTTCAAGAGCAGTCGTGATCAACTACGTCTCTATTCCTTTTCTACTCTTCACCATTGCTTTCTTGTACAATTCTAATCTCTTTAATCGTATTTAATCTGCTGACATAATTAAAACTTTGTCGTCATACCTATTTTTCAATATCATGAATATTAATCACGCTAATTTGTTCTATTTACTCTTCGAATTCATTCTAACCGCTTTCATTTCTTTTTACTTATTTTCTGTGTCGACCTATTATAAAAAACAAGTTAAGTGAGATCTAGCTTTGTGATATCTAAGAAAATTATTGTTTCAAAGATGATAGATGAAACAATAAATGCTGTATGAATAAGTAGAAGTTATGTTTTGCTATATTTCTTCTGCTTTTGTCTGCTCACCGTAAACAAATGCAATGTATTTTTGAATGTGGGTTTGGATGTACTTCTTTGTTTGACCTATTTCACGCCCATACCCAATCCATATCATTACAAGAAGACGGTTGTTTTGTTGTTTACTAGATACATAATGATAGAAAGCATGTGGCATAATCAAACGAAAGAAAATGGCACGTGACTAATGAAGTAGAAGGTACTAAATAAGCAACGATGTATCGACTTTCTTGCTGTCGATAAAACGAAAGAATATTGATCTACAAATGATACTATTGTTTGAAGAATCAATTATTTCCAGAGAACAGGAAGCTCACATTGATTGTAGCAATCTAAAACAGTAATCTCATATCCGATACGAAATAAGCATTTTTCAGCACTCAATATTACAGCTCTTTGTGTAGCAACTGTATATATGTATTCAGATCTTAGAAAATAGTAGATTTCTATTCATATGGTTACACAAATCACTTTTTGTCAATATGTATACTGAGAAAAAAAGAAAACATTATTGTGGTATTTTACTGTGAATGGATTGATAGAAAAATGTAATATTTTTTCCCCATTCCCTCTGTATTTTCAGCTGTCTATGAAGAAAAAGAGTATAAAAACGGATTCATTTCTTTACAACTGTCTGAAACTATCAAGCAAAATTCAATGGATACATCAACTACACATTATCTGATATATGATTACCGCCGTTAATGAAGTTTTCTTTTATAATGAATTCTAATATACAAAAACAAAAAGCTGAAGTGCTTTTTCATGCATACAGATAGTAGAAATGTTGCCGATCTTTATAAATAGAAAAACTTAAATGTCACTGGATTATTATTGAGAAATATCTTGCAATTGAGACATCGATTCAAATAATGCTTGATTTTTCAGTTTTCAATCAGTAAAACATCCATCTTGTCAGTCTTGGCTGAGAAAAAAGAAAATGCGCAGTGAAAATGACAAGCATTCATAACAAGGACCAGAATGAACTAACAACAGAAAGTCGCTATATTCGAGACATGAATATTGGAGAATAGCTTTGTTATTTTGAACTATCACTGATGTGACTGGGTGGTTGGATGCAAGGATCTCCACCTCTCCACTTACACATCCACGTTGAATCATGCATCTATCTACATGCACACCTGATTGAAAAGACCGAAAAAGTGTGTTCAGACCCAACAGCAAATTTAATGCGATTAGGATGTGAGTGGTAATGTGCCTGTAGGCTAACAAAAGACATGTATTCCCATAATCAATCCTCTTTTTAAATTGAACTCTTGAACAATCATTTGAAAATATTTCAGCTCTTCATTAAAACAGATACGTTAAGTCTTTTCTTGATTCGTCTCGAATAATAAATCTTGATCTCCAGAAGTTGCTATAGAATCGTCGAGTGTGGATGATTTCTATGCATTATATTTTAAGAAATCATAGTTTGATTGAGCAAATATTGTAAATAGGTGTAGGTGCCGATATTTTCTTCATCCACACTCATTATTGTTATGTAATATTCCTAACAAATGTAAAAGCAAAGTTGATGTCCAAAATTTCGTCCATATACACTATATGTTAACTGCGATATAGCATCATGATAACCCTCAATGCAATTTTTCTCTTTCTGTGTCACTTTTCATTTGTTGTTATTGTTTCTTTTCTCTCTTCTGTTTATTCCCTCTAAGTTATGTATATGTGTGTGTAACTATATGCGAACAGATAAATTCTTTTTCTAGTGAAATAAAAGTAAAGCTCACCTGTTTCAAACTAGAGCTATAATTTTCAGCTAATAATCAGTTATAGTAGAATCACATCTTTTTATCTTGAATTTAGTTTCGTTTTCTCTTTTTCATACAATATCTAATTTCTAGTCCTTGGATCTTAAGAAAAAATGTTTTGAAAGAACGAGCAAGGAATCATCCAATTATGATATCAAATAACAAGGAAAATATTGAAGAAAACGAATAATAAGTAAATCTGTGACAAAAACAAATCAATAAAGGTAAAACTTAATAAATTTGACAAGAAGGCTATAAAAAAAATCAGATTTGGTAGTATGTCCTGTTGATATTCTGCTGATTACATTCATGTTGGTCTCCAATATCAGTATTATAATCTTTTTATCAATAAAAGCTATGTAAATATTTTTTTTGAGTAAAGTCTAAGATGGAACATGAAGGTTCGAATTCTAGTATATAGTTATTAAGAATTTACTTTAATGAAAAAGAATGATGAATATTTTATTGAAAAGTAGTTTTTTACTACTGCATAGTGTGACAATTTGTGTTGCAGTCCAATATGAATGTGATAATTAGGAATACGTCATTTGGCTGTAGCCTTTTCAATGTTAAATTACCTTCATCAGAAAATCTCATTGGAGAGACTACGATCAAGCACAGTTGGCCAATGATTGTTCTTCATGGTTTTCCCTAGTCAGTCGAGAGCATCTATTGTAGTAGATCGATTTTGAGCAATTATTTCATCCTAACAGCTGCTCATTGTTTTGAAAAAATCGTCCCATTATATATTACAATTAAGCCTAGTATCTATTATCCAATAGATGAAAATACAACCATTCGTATCGTAGATCACAGCTATCTCCATCCGAAGTATCAAGGTCATACTGATGGATATGCTAATGACATAGCACTGTTGGGATTAAATAAACCATTGAATTTCAATAATAATCCCTGTGTTACTCCAATATGTATACGTACTACAAATACATCAAGAAATATATCACAATATCCGAAAAATGGTACACGATTAGCAGTAATCGGTTGAAACTCAGTAAGACAAGCTAGAGTGAGTATATTTAATGTTCTTTAAGAAGGAGAAATTTTCGTAATTAATAACAATGATCCAATATGTTTTCGTGGGTGTGAGTGTCAAAACATTGAAAGCCACACCCACACCCACACCCACACCCCAATATGATAGAGAGAACTAGTGTCTTTAGGCTTGTGTCGACGCTGTTGAATGATATCTTTCCATTCGGCTTCATGTAATTCGTCTTCGTCGTTGATCGATTGGGATGGCATCCCTGCGAAATAAAGAGACGAATCATTGTTTGACCATATGATAGCTGAAGGAAGTTGGATGCCGATATCAACAGACAACAACTCATCTGAAGTAATATTGTACAGCTAAAGGTGCTGTCTCTTTTTCAGATGTCGATCATCTGTTGTGTGTTTTGCTAAATTTTCATCGATTAATAATAAGATCCAATCTCTACTTGGTGACCATTTCGGTTTAATAATTTCCGAAAGCTGTCCAGTAATCAGCTTCTTTCATCGTCCTTGAGTTTCATAAAGCCATAAACTATTCTCATAGGAATTCAATTCTCATGCTGGACGTCTACAATGAACAAATACATATTGACGATTTGGAGAGAGACTCAACGATGGAAAATGTGCGGAAATAAAAAAATTCATCGAATGTAAAATTTGGTTGGGTTTGAATCGACGAAAAGCAAAAAAGAAGTTCAAAAACGAGCAGGTAATATAACTTTATTTCGATAGTTGATTGCACTAGTTGTAATCGAAACAAAACAAATTTCAAAAGACCATCGGTCTCACACAGGTAAATAATAAATTAATAAAATGTTTATCTTGTAGCCATCATGAAACAAAGAATTCTGAGTAGGAAGATGTCCTTTCCTTCGTTGGATCTTTTATAAGAAATCGATACATACTCAAGTTGCAATGTGAATTTGCCAATGGCATAGGTTCGCTTCAAAAACGACTGATAAAAACTACACGCGCACACACATAGAGATATAGTAAAAAAAACCCTTTCCAATTGCACGAGACAAGAGAGAAATAGGGGATTATTTTTTTTGTCTATCGTTTGACATTGTCAGAGGGCTTAGTGCTTTTGATTATCTTATGTAGAGATTAACATTTATTCTCCTACTTCAAGGAGTTATTCAATTGCGAATTACAATAGCGAATTTTGTTGTATCATTCTGACTGATTGCGTTTTCAAGTGCCATTATCTGTGTCAAAAAGCGAATACACACATATTTGCCATCAAATCCTGTAAGTCCTTTGATTATGATAACTTGTATAGCGAACCAATACCTAAGAGACGAATTGATCAAGTTTCTCTAGGTGGACTCTGCCATAGAAGTTTTCAATCAATATATAAAAGATAAGAATATTGGATGATGTTCATCGTAGTACAAGTTTTGAGTGATATATGGTTGAGTTCTCTGTTCCATCAGGGATCTGTTTGAAGAATTGACAAGAAATAGAACCCTTCCGAGCTTGACTTATGCCGAAATACAACACTGAACTCAGAATCAACTATATTTTTCTGTTGTTTTTCCTGTCATCAAATCATATATATGAATACACTGAAGCAATCGATCAGAAATATTCGAGATATAGCTTAGTCTGTTTTATCTACTGTGCAAGCATAAGACAAAACGAAGAATGAACACGAGGAACAACTGATTTTTCAAAAAATTCTCTCATATCTAAACTGGTAAAGGACGATGTTATGGACGACATAGGATTTGTCAATGTGTTTTCGTGGAATATTGTTGCTGTTGTTATTGTCAGGAACCTGCTCTAATATCGTGTGTCATCAAGAATAAAATATTAAATCCACTGAGTACATACAACTATGTACAATAGCTATTGGTCTTTTGATCAAATGTTTGACGATACAACTTAGCCTTTCAAGATAATATTGAGAAACACTAGATGATGATGAAAATAATAATAATTATTTGGTGCAATTCAAGTATTTTTCAAGCATAGAAAAGCCGTTCATGTTTTAGCTTCAAGCTTGTTTGACCATTTGATTTGTCCTGATAATGCAACAATGTGTGTCTGAATATGTGATCTGAGTTGAGAACCGAACAGTAGTAGTTTAGTATTGATAGACTAGTATTACATTACATCGATCTTTGATAGATTATCTTGGATAAATTGAAGGTCATATCGACAACAGCGAGATAACCAACATGAAAGTCTATCTGAACAGGGCCATCCTGATAGGTTATCGCAGAGAATCGCTCGGTTCACTTGCTTTTCAAAAATGTGTAGAAGCAAAAATACTCACAGTCACACCCTTAAATGATCTGTTCTTTTATTTCATGTCTGGTAGTTCATTTAGAGCTTCTTTCTTTTTTAAATCAATTACAACATATTTCTTATATAACTAGACATTTGTGCTCTAATTTTTGAGATGCCCACGAAGTTGTTCTGCTGTTTTTTTTCAGAATAAAACATTATACACATAAAAAACATAAGAGAAACAAAAAATAGAAGTCAATCAATGAAATATATGAAAACGAACATTTTGTAACTACAATAAATGTGGAAACCTCGGATTTAAATCCGAGAGTTATGTGTACTTCAAAAAGTGAATGAGACAGATGAGTCACCCTAGAATGTGTGGACATCAAAATTGTCCTGGCAAACCCTTTCTGTAAACACTTAATTTCTATTGGCTATTGCTCAGCCAATACGATTTGGAGGCAAATACAGCTCAGATATGAACTCTTCACCTTGATTTACCCTAAGAAACTCGCTTTTTCTATAACTTGATTTCTATTGGTCACTGCTCAACCAATGGGATTTCGAGGCGAATAGAACATAGATTCGAGTTCTCCATTCTAGAAAACCTCAAACTATCATCTCTGTGATGGGAAGATAGAGCTCTAATTGTGGATCATATACAGCGTGGACAAAAACAGAACCGAATTCCGATTAATTATCTTTGCAATAGACGAGTTAGCTTTTTTGTTTCTTTATGTTTTATATACCATTTTGTAGCTCGTGAAATTCTCTATCGAATGGTATGTAATAGTTGGGGTTTTATCTGACTGTGATAGGAAAATTTTTTTATGAAAACAGAGAAGGGTCTATCTTCTCATAGGGAAAAATGACTATTTTTGCAATAACTCAGCAATGGTTCGGTCAATCATCCTCATCTTCGAATTCGACCGAGATATTGTTAAGACTAAACTGTGTAGAAAATTTCATCGCGATCTGACCCTCCTTTCAAAAGTTATCGTGTTAACGGCCGGACGACCGGACATACTGATCGATTCTAGAGTGTCCTCACTTTTTGAGTACACAAGAAAAAGACACAAGAAAACAGTAAAAATATGAAAATCATTGATTATTGAGAGTAGAGATGCAATGAAAAAAGGTTCTAAGAACTTTTACATAATATTAGTGCAAATATACAATGTAAATAATAAATAACATTAATAACCATTCAGGAAATTCGAAATATTTGCTGTGCTCAGTAAAAGTTTGTTCATTTTATGAAAATAGCATTCGTCGATAAACGAATGAGTACTAATCAATAGTGCTATCAAAAATATCTAGAAGGTATACATGTAAGAAACACATCTCTATTGAGAGAGTAAATGTTTCTTCAATGTATATGTATTTCCTACATAGTCCTAAATAAAAACCAATCAGTAAAGTTTTATAGTCACTTTCATAGGCGTGGGTGGATGGGGATTGATATTGATGTGGGATATGGATGTAGGGTGTGCATGTTGATCTTGTTCTGGCTCACAAACACCTACAACATAGACATGCATCTATGCCTACACTCACATCTACCCTATTGTTCAACGTATGAACTAGAACATGATACCCAAGCATCGATCATTGGAACAAGACATTAAAAGAGTCGTACGATTTGTACAAAAAAATGGACACGCGACCAGTGTTAAATTTTCGTGGTCTCATATTACAAGAATTGTGAAAAAAAAACGAACATGTTTTCATTAACACAATTTTCTTTAAACAGAATGGATAGTTCAAGTTCTTAGAGCTAAATTCGAACTCGTAGATCTATTCGCAGACGTTTTGACAGTCATTCTTGTCATGCAGCTGCTTACAGCTCGGACAAGTTCACGTCGAAAGGATCTGGTGGTAAGAATATAAAGAAAAAATGAGAAGCTGTGGTTACCGTAGGTAGCTAAAAGAGTTATGGCAGTGGAAAGTTTGGCTGCTTCTGTCGGTGGCGCTTCCTTAAACGTGTAGTAGACGAATTTGTTAATAAGGTACGGTAATGTAAGAACTGTATTGACAATACTATGAGCGATGACAAGACGAATGAGATGATATTCTCCATGGGATATAGTAGGATGAACGAGGCGACGGATGGATCGTATTTGAGCGACAGTGGCTACGTTAATGACAGTCAAGATAATTGTGGGACACAGACCGAAGAAAATAAGAACGAAGATATCATAAAAGATACGATAGACACCTGGTCGTGCATAGCACACGCCCTGATCGATTTCGAACAGAAATGGAACGTGTAAATTGAGAAGGAGACAAAAGACGACGAGTAAAGCAATGATGATGAACGTTGTTCGGCGTCCACACAGGAGCACGTAAAGATGACGGTTTTTAGTAAGCTGAGCCTCGCGAACACGAGCATATCGATTGATAGAAGCTGCTGTGAGTAAGTATGACGCGAAAAGATAGGTGATATGAGCGAAGTAGCGCCTAATCTTGCACCAAATCAGTATTTGATTCTCCAACCGCAGGAGAAAGCCATTTGTCAGTGACCAAACAAGTAAGCCGATGATAAGAACCAGATAGTTGTTGAGAGAATAGACAATCAAATAGATTGAACATGAATTGGAACGAAATTTCTTACGCAAAAAGACAATCAAACTAAGACTATTTCCGATGAAACCAACTGCAAATGCAATGAGATAAATGTAGCGCGAAAAGATATAAACACGAACGAACGCTAATGTGTTGTCATTTACCATCCTTGTCGTCACTCGTTGATTCAACCTCTATCCTGTTCTAATTATTGTAAGAATAAAAGAAACACAGTATAGTAGTTACAATAAAATAAACACTCTTCCTAATGCAATGAAATCGTGGTTGTTGGTGTAGCTGTGGGTGGAATGTGGAGGTGTAGGATGTGTATGTGGTCGAACTAACGACCTACATCCAAATCCATGCGTCTAATTCTTCACAAAAACGACTGTCACATTGATTTGATAATCTATGTTTGAGTAAAAAACAACTACCTTTCTTTTTACTTAAATAGAAATCGAATTCAATGTATTTGATTGAGAAAATCAGGCAAGTAATTTCCATCCATTGGAGAACAAGGTGGCATTTAGATGATATTTGTTATTTTAATGCATAAGATTTAATAAATAGGATCCTTTCTTTCCTGCAAAATATAGTTTCATTGCATGCATAATTTAGTTGTATTCAAGGCGCCACAATGAAGACTAAAAGAGAAACTAGAGACTCTACCTCAATTGACAGGACAGTCTGTAAATAATATCTTCGAGCGGCTTGCGTACCGCTCAAAGAAAAACAAAATGCCACAATCAATGTCTACCATGTGCAATACAAATCAGATTCCTCTTTTAAGGTAATCATCATTGTCGATACTCTTTCCCGTCTCTAGTGAAGCAATCAAGAAAAAAGCGCAGCCATATTCAGGCATCGTATACGGCTTTTTTTGAGATTAAAAATTAGGAATTACTCATTGCACAAAGAGAAATGCCATGTCCGATATTTGAGTATGACTGCGCTTTTTTCTTGGTTGATTCTCTAGAGATGAAAAAGATTATCGATAATGACGAGTACCTTAAAAGAGAGACCTGATTCATATTGCACATGGTAAACATTAACTGTGGGGTTTCATTTTTCTTTGAATGGCAGGCAAAACGCTCGAATACATTATTTATAGGCTGTCCTGTCAATTGAAGTAGGACCTCTCGTTTTTCTTTCATGATTCATTGTGGTGCTTCGAATACAACTAAATTATGCATGCAGTGAGAGCATATATTGAGAGAAAGGAAGGACCCTATTTATTCAATCACATGCAATAAAATAACAAATATCATTGAAATATCACTTTTTCCTCCAATGGATGGAAGTAACGTGCCTGATTTTATCAATCAAATACATTGAATCCGATTTTTATTTAAGTAAAAAGAAAAGTAGTTGTTTTTTACTCAAACACAGCTTATCAAGTCAACATGACACAGTCATTTGTGTGAAGAATGAAACACATGGGTGTGGGTGTGGGTGGTAGTTTTTCTTTACTACATTCACACTCATAGTCACACCCAACATTCAACTTGTCTTGTTTCGTAATAATTAAATGGAAACAAGTAAGGCTTATTCTTTGTCTCATCAACACTATCATAAAAGAGAAAAGAAATTGAATTTTTAAATTGTTTTATCTATCTATACAATTGGTATATTTGCAAGATTAGTACTCTATTTGTGTGGTTACTTTATGAGTAACTGTTCTTGAACCATGATGGACGTGGGCGTGGCTCTGTCGCTATAAATGTCGATGTGAAGTCTGCTTCTGACAAGTGTGACTATAAGTGCTTAGAGGCATTTATTCATTCTCGTCAACATTCACATCTATCCACATCACATCCATGCTACAAAAAAGCAGAGACATCTTTCCTTTATTATGCGTTGGTTAATAACTATCTCAAACATTTTTCGTTTCTTTTTAGTTATTATCAGTTATAAAAAAAGTAAAAAGAATGAAATCAACTGAAAAAGATACTCATCGACGAATTCGTAGTGAATTTCCATATAAAGTTGAAAAATTGACACAAATATCAATTGCTATTGATGACAATATTCAATTAGCAGCAACAATATGGATGCCCGGAAGTGAGAAAAAAATTTTAGTTTTATTAAATACAATTAAAAAAAAAATCTCTCATCTTAGTGGATGGTAGTCAATCAATAAATGAAGAAAAATTTCCAGCCATTTTAGAATATTTACCATATAGAAAAGCAGATCGGACGTTCGTTTTGTTGTTTCAAATAATTTCTTTCATTAAATTAAATCAATTTGAATAGATCAATAAGAGATGAAATTCGATTAAAATACTTATCCGGTTTTGGATATGTTTCAATTAGAGTTGATATTCGAGGAACAGGAAATTCGCAAGGTTTGAAATTATCGTTTTGTTTTTCTTAATTATATTTTATTCAAGTTTTTTTGTTCATATAAAAACAAAAGGAATATTTGATGATGAATATACAGAACAAGAATTATCCGATGGATTAAAAATTCTCGACTGGATTCAAAATCAAACATGGTCAAATGGAAAAGTAATTAAGAAAGATTTTATTTTATTTTTATTTATTCTCTATTAAAAAGGTCGTTATTTATGGAAAATCTTGGGGTGGTTTTAATGGATTACAAATTGGTTTTCTTCAACCTAAAGTTGAATAGTTTTGTTTAAATTTAAAATAAAATAAATATAAAGATACTTTTGTTTGTTAAAGAATTTATCTGGAATTATTTCCGCTTATTCAACAGATGATCGTTATAATAATGATATTCATTATTATGGTGGATGTTTACCAGCACACGAAGGTTTTCTTTAGAAAATTTATTTTCAATTCAAATAAAAGAATTTCTTTTTCTTTTTCTTTTTCTTTTTTATCATTGTCATGGTCAACGCATATGTTAAAATATTTATCTCTTCCTCCTCATCCATTATATCAAGGAGGAATCGAAAAAGATTGTCACTTATTTGATATTTGGAAAGAAAGATTAAATAATTTAATACCTTTAGATTATTATTGGATGCAACATCAAAATCGGTTTTTTTTTAATTCAAATTTCAAAACTAAATCAATATATTTCATTTATTTAGAGATAAATATTGGCGTCATGGAAGTATATGTGAAGATTATTCGAAGATTTCATGTCCAGTTTTATTAATTGGAGGATTTTCGGATCTTTATAATTCATCTATTTTTCGTTTAATTAATCAGTTGGAATGTCCAAAACGAGCTATTTTAGGTCCATGGGGACATCAATGGCCGTCTGTTTCTTTATGTACATTTGATAAAATCTAGATTGATAATCTTTGTTTTTTTTTTCTTCTAGAGATGATGCTTATCCTGGACCACAAATTGGTTTCTTACAAGAACTAGTTCAATGGCTTGATTATTATATAAAAGGTATTGATAATGGTTATGGTAACAAACAAATTTTATCTGTATTTCAATTACATCCCAATATTGATGAACTACATTCCATTGTAAAAGAAAGAAAAGGAAAATGGATACATTTTAATTCACTTCCATCTTATCCATATGAACATTTTCAAAGAAATGATCATTTAATTTATAAAAATCAACAAATTGATACAAAACAAATTCAATATTATTTATCTTTTCAACGTTTAACAACTGAATTTATTTTAAATGATTTAAATCCTAACAAAATTTCATTCTTATCTATAAATATTCAAATAGGACATTTGAACGAAAATAAACTTTTCTTTATATTTCAATCAATTTATTACTATATAATAATCGATTAAACATGGACAAATAAAAATATTCAAACAGATTATTTTACTTCATTTAAATTGATGAATGTAAAAACTGACAAGGTAGTATGTGGAATATGGTTCTTCCCTTCATCTATAACTACACTCACATCTTTTCTTCGTAATTAAAAAATTCAAAAAGACTATACTGATTTCCATTATTATGAAAAATCTTGATTTAAATTTATGCTGACTATTATTTCTTGACAAAAAATATCAATTCTACTAAATTATTGAACTATGAGGAAAGTTGTCGTTACACTTTGACTTACATTTTATCATCGACAAATTTGAATCGATTTTATTGAAGTTTGTTTCGAATGATTTTTATTAAGTTTTGATATTTTTCAAAGCAATTATAATTCATATGAGAGTAAACTATTTGATTGTGAATTCATTCATAGAATTTCTCGTTCTAATCAAAAATATATGAAAATATTAATCGTTCAAAAAGATCAATATCTATTTGTCTATCAGTTTGTCATTCTATATGGACGTCGTTTACGTATAGAATCTCTCCTCAAGAGACAGGTTTATCAAGTGGAAATTTACTTGGATTGGGATTTATTGACAAACCTGATCACCCAACAGATCAACGAGAAGATGATGGAAGATCATTATGTTTTGAGTCTCTTCCATTACATCATGATTATGGTATTTATTATAGAAAATATTTCAAATTAATTTCATTTATTTTTAGAATTGTTTGGATTTCCATTTGTTAAACTTAATTTAAGTTCGAATAGTAAAAATGGTTTAATATGTGTCCGTCTTTGTATGATTGAGGAAAAAAGTTCATCATCAATTCTTATTTCACGTGGAATTCTTAATTTAACACATTATAAATCACATGAACATCCTCAACAACTAAATGTTGATGAAATCTACAAGTTTGTATTTTTGAAATAGTATTTAAAAGAAAAAAAAGATTTTTTTTTTTTTTTTTCTAAAACTTAAGTGTTGAAGTAACATTATCTGGTGTTTGCGTATGCTTACCAACTGGTTGTCGTCTTCGTTTATCTTTATCAACATCATATTGGCCAATTGTATGGCCTTCATCACAATTATCAACATTGACGTCTGTCATCATATATTTTAGAGAAAGAATAAAAATTTTTAGGTTTTTTTTTCCTAGGATTCATTTTAATGAAATATCACCATGTATTCTTACGTTACCTTGTTTAAATGGCCAATAGTAAAAGAATTTTATTCAAATATATTCAAAAAAAAAAACGTTTTTTTTGTAATTAATTAAGTTTGACAAGTGATGATCTTGGTTTTCCTGAAATTTGTCAAGGAATTCCAATAAAACAGTTACGAGATAGTTCAATCAATCGTTTTAGAATGTTAGATGAAATCAATGAATTAATAACATTAAAAGTAATTCGATTTTTCTAATATTTTTAATAATGGTCTTTTTGATTTTTTTTTAAAAGATTAATGAAGATGATGGTTCTATTGAGTATCCTGATGGTTTAATATGGGATGAAACATCAGAAAGTATTTATGAAATTAAAAAAAATGATCCTCAATCAGCAAGAATAGAAATAAAAAGATATATAAAATATTATTTTCAAGATCAATCATCAATTAAAGTTGATATACAAACAAAATCCATTATGTTTAGTCAACAATCACCATCAACATTTCAAATAATACATCAATTAAATATTCATAATAAGGATCAATTATTTTTTAAGAATGATTGGAATTTAACATTTCCTAGAATTTGCAACTAATTTTCTTTTTTATTCAATTTACATATGATATCATCATTATATTATATCTTGAATAAACTGCAACAATAGATGAAACATATAAAAAAATAAAACAAATAACATCTTTCACTTTGTCAAGAGCTGTTTTAAAAAACATCTTAATCATATTTGTACTTGTAAAATTTAACTACTAGATGTTTTAAAACTGAACATAAAAATAATATCTTGAAAAATATTACAACTAGTGAAAATCTATTCATACAATTTCTTTGAGATGCAGTTTTGTATTATCATGATGCAGTTTGATATTATTCGTATCGGATAGTGATCTGCTTTTCGAATGGGTTCTCAAGTACTGCTTTTAAACATCAGTCACTGTGAATGTTAACATCAATACATATTCAACGTGGTATCGAATAAAAGCATAACGATCCAGTTGTTATGAAGCTAGTGACGTAACCAGCTTCTGTTTACCCACAATACACATCTACTAGCACACTATCTATTTTTTACTTTTTCAATTAATATCACATTAAATTATTTCGTTTATACACCAAAGTTACACATATTTCTAGAACGAATGGTCCATCCCTGTCATTGACAATGAAAAAACAGCAATTCAGTCTTTCACTCTTTTAAAGAACAAGAAGAAAATCAGTAAGATATTCTTTATTTAGCTCACTGTACTTTCATTTGAGAGTTCTACTTTTCTCAACAAGACAATTGATAAATACGTAACCTGCAACTATGGAAGTATTTCATTATAAAAACAATGATATCAATCGTGTATATGTTAGTGTGCATTGGTTTTATTATGTATAATTTGATTATGATTCTTCTTCTTTTTTTAACAATAAGCCATACGGTCGAATAGCTTTCGGATCGGCAAAGCGCCACATTTCTCCTTTCTCTATTGAGCTTTCATGAACGGTGAACATTTTCGGTTGAACACGACACTGAAACACCAGCCGATAATTTTCTGTATTCTTATTAGATACTTTAACAGGAAATACTTCTGTAAATCGTGGGTGAGATCCACCATTACAATGAGTGGCTAAATAGAGTCGTGGTTCATTCATTTCGATTCCATCAAATTGAAGTGAACCATTGTTTATGGTGTTTTGATGTGTTCCTTGAAATGCAACTGGCCATTCGTCATCAGCATTGTCACAACTGAGCCAGGTCGCATCATCCAGATGCTTATGATCAATTTTTAATGCGTGACGATACCAACCAATCGGACGATAGTATGGATATCCACCTCTCATTTCAGATTCAAGTATTTCTGATTTCTCGCAATCTCTATTGAATTCTGGGGTGAAATCATTTGGTTGCAATTGAAAGTAAGATAAAATCGAAGCCCATTTATAGACGTATGAAGCAGGTTTGACGTATTGAAGTACTGATCGTTTAGGAAAGCCTTTTTGGGCCTTATCCTGAAAAACAAAGACAATGCATAAATTTCTTCATCAAAATCTGAGATAATTATACAAAGTGCTTGGTTTTTGTAGAAGCCAATCTAAGTAAGCATTAAATAGAACTTTATATATAGAGTACCTGTAATAAATGAGCAAGCTGTTGTGTCTCATTAAAATTCGGTTTGGTTATACCGAAATGAACTTTAGTTTCATCAGATTGTTTGTTTGATTTTTTCACAGAAAGTATGCGAATATAGTGCTCTTCACAAGATAAAAGTTGAGAAACATCTCGACAAAAACTCAAAGCGAAATTCTCCATAGTATCCTTGGATTCTGCAAAATTCTTGTCATAATCGACGGTGATGTTGAACGCAAACTTGGCCATTGGTACATAGTTGTTGGTAAGCATATGAACATTGCCAAGATTGCCTATACCGCAAGCTAAACAATGAGAACTGTCATCAACTGGCACATCATTCATGGTGATAGTCAGATTGCCATTGAATTTGCGAGCGAAGGCATCGAGAACAAGTATGAGTGTTTCTGTTGAATCTTCAGCAATATTTATTGGTTTTCGGCAAAAATCTTTTGATTTATTAGTAAATGTTCGATAAGCTGCTATAGTATCGAATGGTTGATTATCGTTAATAGCTGGTGGATAAACAATATCTTTCAATACTGCTTGTTGATCATTCAACTTGAACCAGGCAGGCGTCATCTTAAGTGATGTTCCGTTAGATTCCATATGAATTTGCATGACTCTATTGCCCTCATCATCACGTATTATATGAAGAGGTATCGATACAACATCTGGTTTTAATTTTTGTTTTTGACTCCCATAAGTCTTCCGTAATAGTAACCAATGCTTATACTTCAGCTGTTTTATTGTTGCATGTAACGTGTGAATTTGTTTCAAATCGGAATCTTTGTAGACTATATTTCTTTGTTCACATTTGACTATCAGAGCTTTAAGTTGTTTTTCTAATGTTTTGATGTGCTTGGATATACTGTCGACATTATCGAACTGGTTTATTTCAGAGGCAGACGCCATGTTTGTCTATTCGTATTCTAGAAAGGTAAAATCCATCATTCACAGACTTAGTTCAATTCTTGTGTAAAAAAATATACTGTATCAAAAATTTTTCGTAGTAATAATTCAAGAAAAATGGCGACACTACTCATAAAATAAAAGAACGGTTGCTTCATAGATCACGCTGGACTCTTTCGTGATGAATTTGTCTATAATAAAAACATGTCCCGCTCAGTCATGACAACCCTTCAAACATATGTTGGTCAACTCTTTCGCTTTTTTTCTCCTACTGATGTCCGTTTCAAAACGGAAGACAGATTACTATTGTTTGAATAAATTTTGCTGAATGCTAAGTATAGACCTGTCATTTTCACTATTGTAAGAAGAATTTCTTTCTTAGTGTGTTTAAATAAATTTTTCACAATTATTTCTGCTCAAATTATGCTACGACGTAGTTCAAATATGCAGTTTTTCTCTATAAAATTATCATATATTTTCTATCATTTTACCGACTTCTTTTTTCTAGTAGATTTTCAAAAGAATGTCATAACTTTACGACGTTGTGACATAATTTCAGTACAGATAACTGTGAAAATACACAAAGGAAAAATTATCAATGACAAACTTCCTGAGAACATTTTTTTAGTTCCTTTATTTCGACAACAATCTACCACAATTATACTGTGTAGCCTATGTTATTTTTCAAGAACGATCGAAGACATAGCAGTATTGAATCTATCTTTTATAAAGTTATTGTCTGGAAATACTTTGAAAATTTTTACCTCAATTATCAATCCACTTCGCTATTGTATTTATCATTGAACTCGAATGGCGCTTCAATGATAAGAATTACAATGCATCCACAGAAGGTAGTTGATTATTTACTATTAAAATACTATGTTCACTCTTCTGATCTTGTATTAACAGATTTGATCAACAAAATTGTTTTTCAGCATCGGTAGCAACTATACTTTATGTGAAACTCATCCCACCAGTAACGAGTTTTTAGAAAACATAACAAAGACTTAATTATGACAAAATTTTTGAGATAAATTTTATGGGCCTTCGAAAGTTTGCAAAAACGTTCCCAAAAATGAGTTTTTTTTTCAAAAAATGGTCTTATTTACAAAATCTAATGTTTCCAAATTTTACAGAACTAATGGACAGTAGCACGCTGTAGTTACATTGAATGGTTTGACTACAAGTCATGCCAATCTAGTTAAGCTTTTGCTATTCATAGTTAAAAAGTTAGAGAATGGCGTCTAGTGGAACTCGATAGTGTTGCAATAATGAAAAAAATATTTGAACTCATTCGAACATAATCCTATATCCTTTCGAACAACTTTACTCTTCTCAGAGGCATTAGCCTTTTTTTACTTAGAATCTATTCACTATACTATGACAGCGCATCTAATTTTTATCTTTTTTGAAGTACTCTGTCCTCATTATTTCCTATAACTGAACTAAGATTCGAATTGTTTTGACTATTTATAAAAGAAGTTAAAGTTCGCCTCGTATGTGTACGGATCTCATAACTAAATAGTTTAAAAAAAAGAACATGAGGAATAATCAAAATGCAGTTTTCATCATTTGTGATGCTACAAGCATCACAATTTTATAAGTTAAGAATTGACTCTTCTATATTAAACGATGAGAAAGACAATAGTGAACGATTCTACAGTAGTATTTAATTACAAGAACATATGCTACTATTTGTTCTACTGGCAATACTTGCTGTCATCAACATCAACAATCATTGTGAAGTCTGCTAAGTGATGTTTGTTGCATCGGGACAGCTATAGCTACACCTTTTCAAGTGCTCACAAACTGATTGAATAACGTTACAAATTAGAAAGAAAAAAAATTATAACTAAAAAGGCACATGAATGAAAAATAAAGAATAGTGAAATAAAAAAAGAATTGGTGAAAAATAAATGAATCAATAATAGAATTGTCGACAGAAAATAACTGATGGTATAGAATGAATAAAAAAGACATAATATAAGCATATGACATTTGATCATGTCGGAAAGAAGAACATAGAAGAGTAATTACTATTGATGATTTTTTTTATCTACCTACAATGTTCCATCAGTATTAATTTATTTTACTCTTTTTATTGAAAATCTAACGTAATCGTATCCTAAAAGAAATCATTTATGTACAATTAGTTCGAAAAGAAAATATCCTTCTGTAAAAAATCAGTTCTGCGTTTGATGAACTTTCGAACATAAGGTTTGCTTTTATACAAATGATGAATTATCTAACTGTCAACAAATTTTGATAAAGATTTGGTGCTGGATAGTAGACTACTTCTTATAGGATTTTCTTTGCATTGTCTATCAATGCGCTTATTTACCATAGAAATAAAGTAATGGAGACATCGAAAAGGCTTATATATTTTGGACGAATGTTGCTCATCTGTCGATCGAATTTGTTTTTGTTTTGACAAAACTCATACGGTGTCCATATGCTTATTTCACTATGTAACCATATTAATACTAGCGTAGTCATATTAAATGTTAACCGTATCAATAAATTTCTCGAGATTTTCCTAAGAAAAAATGGATGGATGTGGATGTGTTAGGAAAGAATATCTACACATACACCCTCAAACAAACGTACAATTCATTAATTTAACAATACAAAATTTTGAATAAACAACTGAGAATAGAAATGCTTGAAAATTAGATGATACTTATCAACAACTTTAATCATATCTTGATATTTCATTTATTAATTATTCAGATTTCGTCAAGCTTTGTAATCAAAATTTGATCAATAGGAACATGATATGACTAAATGTAATTAAGTTAATCAGTTAAATGTACTAAATTTTAAATCAATAAACGACTTAATTGAAATTTCGTCAAGTGCTTACTCTTTTATTTAATAATAATTCGAATGATAATAGATAGCCAATTCTTTCACTTAATGCTCAAAAACAATAAGATAAATTAGGTAAACTACATCATCTGAAACATCTTGATTTTTGACAGTCTTAAATACTTTTGTTGTTTATTCATTGCAACAAATGAAATATTTTCTTAATAACAGATGAAAAATAATAGAATTTTATCAAACGAATATAATTGAAAGAATCTATGACAAATAATATATTAGTGTTTCCTATTTCGCAAATTATACTTTTGACAATTAAACGAGCAAGTAAATTAATTATACAACAGTTTAATTATTTTTAGTAACTTTTATTTTATACTCTGTTTTTTGAAAACGATATTAACATCTTATTTAATAATTAAAGTGGAAATTATTTTGAAAACAGTATTTTTTTTATCATTGATTGTTTGAATATTAATTCTATAAATCTAATGATAATTTTTGAAAGTCTATAGATGTATAGATGTCGATGATCGGAACTATTCATCGTGACTAAAACTTCTGTTTATAAAGGTAGAATTGGATAAATTATTTTTTCCCCTTGTAAATATTCCATTCACTCTATTTTGAATGGCCGGATGTAAAGAATGGTATTTCCTTTAAAAAAAGGCGCTTTCACTTAACTTTTTGTAAGATGAAGTGTTTCTGCTCAATCATGAAAAGTACTTTTATCTAGCTAGAAAAATTTTCTTAAGGATGAAGATGCGATAATAATCAAAGTTACTCAAAGTCAAGGAATTTGCTGCGCTATATTACTCTAAAGAAATTACGACTCATAAAAACTTAAAACACAGTATCAATAGATGTCAGACGAAGAAACTCACAAAAGTATGATTTTTTTTTAATCTCTCCATAATGAATTTATATTTTTCATTGCTTGTTTAAGTACGAAATGTTATTTTGAATATAGCGTACAAACCTCTGTTGACTCATCAAAAAAGAGTTCCTATGGATGTGATTCATCGAGAATATTATATAATGTGCAATATATGAATACAATTGAGAAAAGCAATATAACGAGAAAACGAAAAGGTAGTCACGCGTTAATCATCCTTGTTCGATAAAAAAACAAGTTTCTTTTGTTTACCAAGTGCTTCAGAAGTATAGCTACTATTCCATCGTATTATTGGTAAGCTTGTTTTTCTCTTTTAACGATAACAAACTAATTATATTATTTTTCATACATTGGTATTTCTATACAATATGCAATATTCTTATTCGCATGCATTTTGTATCGCATACAAATATTACTGCATGGGTAAGAACAGTACATATTCGCTAAAGTACTCATATAATATGTGACTTATTCATTGAGACATATAAGCGAAGAACTTCAATGGTTCTAAGAAAAGTTGATAGCCAAATACATCAACTATATTTTTTGTGTTTAAACTAATTTCAAGAGACAAGTTCGTTTAAACGCGTTGAATTACTCATTGAATCTGATAGTTATGAATAGAATCAACTATACTATTTACAATAGTATTCTATATCTATTTAACAAACTATTTAAAGTGTTCTCGAAAGTATGAACCATATTTTGTTTAGATAAAAATTCATTCTACATCTCACTGATCTAGAATGATATTTAAATGATTATCCAAATATATCCTTTGATTAACATATTATTATCAATATGCTATTGTTGAATGAATCTTTAATGAATGATTATCTAAAAACAGAATCTCTTTTGATGAAACATAGAAAACAGTCTTGAACAAAACGTTTTTCATTCGTCTGATTCCAGCTACAATACTAGTTAGAGGTTTAAAATTTGTGCGCATATGCTTCACAAGACGTTTAGATCAGCAACATCATTCGGAATCTATTTTCTATTATAAGTTTCCAAACTTTAAGACGCTGCTTACTAAACTTTGTCTTATTTCTTATCACATACGTGATTAATTGTGAATATTTTCAAATGAAACTTAAAGTGAATATATAATTTTTCTTTATTCAAAAGATAAGTTTCTTTGGTAGGTTATTAATGTCTCTGGATTGATGACTCTAACAAAATGATCATCCGTATGTCATATCCCTTTAGTACAACATTTGATTCTGAAACTTGCAGAAAATAATATCAAGATATGAAGAAAAATTTCTCGAAATATTTCAGATCAATTTAAGAAGACTATAATTTTTTAAGTACACAAGCTTTCGAATCACTTTTTCGTGATAATAATTGGGATTTTCAGAAGAGAGAAAGAAGAACACTTTTGTCAAGGAGTATGCATATAAGAAAACAGACGAAATATCTCTTTGTGATATATCGAATCCTTGACTGACTAGAGCCATTGTGAATTGCTATTTCTATGAACTGTTATACAAAGAAATGTACTCAATGTGCATTGTTGAAATAAAAAATATGCACTTTGTGATTGTTTTACATACTGTCCGATCGAGCCTCGTAAAAGAGAAATTAGAATCTTACGGAGAGCAATGTCTTTCAAATATCTAGAACTATATAAAGATTTCAAGTACTCATCAAAACAATCTTTATTTCGATTTATTAGTATAGAATCTATAATAAATAAACTTAAATTTATGTAAAATTTTTCGAATGACATATGTACACTAATTATTGGGGAAAAAATCACTTTAATACCTGATGACATAGCTTCTTAAGTAAACAAGAACTTACCACATTCAAAAAAATATTCTAATATTCCTAACCGACATATCTATCAAACTCACTTGATCATCTCTTTATAGACATTATCATCAAATGAGTGGTAAAATTGCACTTAGTCTAATTCATTCCATGGAAGCTAGTACAGGAACAACAGTAACCAACGATGTTATTCTCAATAATGAAGAACGATCTACATCAGTCAATAAAACAGTAGCCGATGGAATTGATATCACATCATATAAATGTATATCTTCTTGTTCAACGGCCATAAATGATGGAAATTCGAATTCAGTAAAAAATTTTCTAAAATCTTTAAAAAATATTCCCTGCGATCATGCATGGCAAGTAAATCGTGATCGTCGTTCACGAAATTTTCATAAACTTGATTTACAGTATGTAAAAAATATTACTCAAACTACAATGTTTAGTAAAGCAATCAAATATGAGATTTTAACAGAAGATATTCAAATAGATTAACAAAATCCAACATCAATTAAAAAATCGAACAAAACCACCAGGCCTCACAACTACATCATATTCCTGATATTTCGTTACTCATTTCTATAGAGTTAGATCTAAATAATTATTATGCGTTATTTCATTGTAGCCAGTTTGTTTTTTTAAAATTTATATAATAATATTTTGTAGAGTGTCTTAAACGAAAAAAGAAATGTTCAGATAATATTTATTTCAATCATTTATTTCTTCATTTTTTTTTCCGAAATCACTTCAAGTTATTACTATTATCAAGCCATTGAGTTTTCAAAACAGCTAGCTTAGAATTAACAGCTATTACAAATATTTCAGCTCTAGCAATATCATTTAATTTCTAATTTTGCATAGCTGTAGAAATTCTTCTATTTGCTACAGATGAAAATGATGAAAATTTTTGACCATCATCAGTACGAGTACTGATCTGAATAGGTTAGACTGATCAGTCTACAAAAAGATTGTCTAGTGCTTGTTCTATATCGAGATAGTGACATTTGATATGATCAACATTCACAAATACATTCAGTACAACAACTTTTCTAATACAAGCAAGAAAGTAAATAAGAAAGATCTCGTTGAAGAATTATTCGAAAATTCATAATACTTCAGAAGAAAGATATCTTACACAAGGTAAACGTTTGACTTTCTACCGAAAGCAAGCTATCCTATGAAATGAAGTAGATTTCATGTGGATTGAAAATTGTCGTTATGTACTTCTGTACAATGATTAATTTAGTTTACATGAAATTTCACAGAAAAAAACTTTAGTAATCATTATAGTCAAAAGAAAAATGATTTTCAGTATTATGCATGCAATCGAAAAACTCTTATTTTTCAGGTATCCAAGTGAGATAGAGACTATGTTTGATGTATTCATATTTTTACGAATCAATAGAAGAGAAGAATTATTTGCAGTTTTACAACTACATTCGAATCAATAGATTATACTAATACTCTCACAGTGCTTAAGTTTTATTCTCTAGCAAATGTTAACGATTTCATTTGAACGGCTTTGTCAGATTATTCTAGTTAACAAAAAATAAGAAATAAGTTAATCAAGTTCAAAAAAGTAGATGCAGTCAAATAATCATTTGATATACATTGAAATATGATAGCTTGGTCTTCTTGAAAAAGATTGTATACTTCACTCTAATAAAATCGTTTCAAATAGGAGTGTAGATATGGGTGAAATGAATACCCTAAGCCAAATCCCACAGCTATTCCCACCTCCACATCTTTTATGCCTTTTAATCATATTCAATGAATCTTATCACGTATAACACATCAGAAAGAAAAAGCCACGTGATAGATAACGACAATTTTTTTTACATATATAGGCTATTTCATTCGCTAGCTACGTGATTTCGTAAAATTAAAATATGTGTATCTCGGAATAATAAGTTTTCCTAAATCTACTTTTTATGTGTTAACATGTATGTTAAGCAACCTTAAATACTGTGGGAAAAAACAGTTAGTGACATGACACAAAAAGGTCATCGACTTTCACTTTATGCATTTTTACAAAATCTCTATGCAAAATTTTTTCAGCACATTCCTAGACTTTTCAAAAAATTAATTTACCTTTCGTTAGTAACATAACGTAGTGCGAATATACAAACGAAAAAAAAATCCTCTTATAACCGAATGAAGAGTTCAAAAATCTGATCTTTCTCAAATTTAATCATAGATGCAGGTTATGCCGTAGAATCTATTCGTAAGTTTTCGGATTGTTTTACTCCTGTGGTTCGAGAAGTATTTGATAATTACTTTTTGATTAATTAGTTATTCAAAATTAATAGTCAATTAAAACAGCCAACATTTTTACATGTCTATGCTAAAACAGCTTGTTCGGAAAAATAACCCTCGTAAAGAATCAAAGTCAAATGAAATGGTTGTATGTTCCGTTTTACAATGAACTAGTCCATATACTCAATCACTGAATACACGTCTTTGTGTTTGATTGGTATTTTGTGATCTATTCACAAAGATTTCATTTGTACTCTAAATAAATACTTATATGAGATGTTATCAATGAATGATTAAAATTTGACTGATTCAGCTGTTTTTTTTAGTGTTGTCAAATTTTAAATCTCCATCTTTTTTAGATTTTGGTTGAGCAGCGTATTTGATAATTTAAAGTTCTTCTTTTACCCGTGTAAATCAGTTGGTTAGATTGTTGTGCTTATAAACAGCATTGAATAACGCGGAAGTCGCGGGATCGAGACCCGCCATGGGTAGTTTTTTTTGTGAGAACAAAACTTTTCGTTGCAGGTCAGGTCATGAACGAACATCATTATTAATATATTCATTTAAACTATTTAAAAAGACATCACTATTAGTTCTGTCTGATTTTTTAATGTCTTCTAAATCTAATGGATATTTAATTAATTTCTTTTGACTTGCGTTCTGAAAGATTAATAAAATGTTTCATTCTTTAACTTGGAATATATTAGATCATTTTAGAAAAAATTTTACAATCACTAGTTTGATTTAGAATTTTTCCAGGAGTGGGTGGATGTGGGGTGTGGGTGTGGGTGGGTGTGGGTGGATGTGGGTGTGGGGTGTGGGTG